GTTTCAGAGTAAGTTATCGAGACTGTAAGTGCCAGTTGATAAGTAAAATGGGATGGGCTAAATTGGGGGAACTTAAAGCTTATTCTGCTCTGTGAATCTCTGCTGTTCTGCTGTGCAGCTGGACTAATTTAGCCTGAAATTTGAAACTCTGCAGCATAAACTACTGATTATTTTTAATTATTTAGTTCCAAGCTTTGGTTGAAAACATGTGGAGCACCGCCAGATCCAACATTATATCACTTCTGGTTATCACTTTTTAGGAACTGTTTTTTTTTGGACATAGGTTTCCTTTGATCAGTTTATGTTGGCACATGCACAGTTGTTTCTTCCTGCCTGAAAAGATAACGCTTCACAACCGATCGAATGGGATAGAGTTGTTAGGTATTTTTAATGAGTTTGGCTCAGTTCTAAGTCCAAGTGGCAGGATCCTGTGGTTCAGGTGAATGCAAGAACTCCCAGTCACCCGTATACTGGTGGCCAGTCAATTCCTGATGATTTCTGACAGCGCGCAGTGAAGCTGAATCTTACATTATCTTTGCAGGCATAGCTGGAGGATGACAGATGCTCCCTGAAGTGCGAGGCACGCCTATGAATCAGGTTTCTAATCGATGCCTTACTTCTCTTTCTTCGGCCCGATTTGAATCCTTTCTCCGGAGAGTTGGGTTTGATGAAGTGCGGTGTTAACGTGCTTTATCAATCCCTTGGCACCTTCTAGGGAATCGACCGCCAGCTCTTCGTACTTCAGCCGCCTTACTGAAAACAGAGAAAAAGAGGCTAAAATGAGGTGACTGGGTAGAATCTCTATGATCCAGGTCTTTGTCTCCTTTTGCTACTCTGGCGGTGCTCAGTCACCCTCTTTACTGCAGTGCAAGAGTGATGTAGGATTCCAGTTTCCCTGTGATGGTGGATAAACGAAACCCTTGAAAAACCTTAAGCTAAAATTCTGTTTGGCCTCACTTTATGTGGCACAAACTTGGAATCGACTTATAGAGACCTTGATAGGGCTTTCAAGGTACGTGAGATATCTGAGGAGTGGCTTTGCCAGTTCCATTCCCACCCAGTGAGCTTCCATGGCAGAGCTGGGGTTCGAATACAGGTCTCCACTGAATGACACTGGATGTTCTGCCCCATGCAGTTAGAATCAGTAGTTAGGCATCCTTCAGTCTCAAAAGACTATGGTATCGTGCTCTGTATGGAGGACTTGGAACAGCGTCTAGTGCAGCTGAGGAGGCCAATTCGAGAGTGACAATCCCTTCCACACTAAAGACAAATGCAATCTGTCCCCTGTCCAGTTCCCTGATTTTGCTGCTTTCGTGACTTCCTCTTTGCCTCAGCCTGCTGGACAAAGGTCTCTTCAAATTGGGAGAGGCCGTGATGCAACGCCTGCCTCCAGGCTGAACGCTCAGACGTCAAGGTTTCCCATCTGTTGAGGTCCATTCCTAAGGCCTTCAGATCCCGCTTGCAGATGTCCTTATATCGCAGCTGTGGTCGCCGTCTGGGACGATTTCCCTGCACAAATTCTCCATACAGGAGATCCTTTGGAATCCGACCATCAGCCATTCTCACGACATGCCCAAGCCAATGTAGACGTCACTGTTTCAGTAATGTATATATGCTAAAAAAATCACTACAGTGAACGGATTAAGTGATCAATAAATGTTAGCGGCAAGTCCTGTCCTGAAGATGTAGTTGCCCACTAACCAAGACCCACATCCCTGCAGAGGGCCTTCTTCTGCTCTCTGGAGATTCATGGTTCAGCAGCTCTTACTTGCTGTTACTGCTTATTCACCATCCCAAGAGTGAGACCATAGAGAAGTAGGGCTGGCCCTACTCTGAGATAGAGTGAGACATTGATCTCTAGCAGCAGATGCTAGGAGCTTGAGGGGTGGCAGTGACGTGGTGGAGATCAGAAATCTTCCAACTCAATGGCTCTCCTTGCATCTCTTACGCTCAGTAGTTTATCTCACCATTTTGTTCCCAAGATTATAGGAAGTCATAGCTGTCAGCAGAGATGTAGTGGGAAATTTGGAAGTGCAGGTGGTTCATCCTAACAGTCCCCGTGGACAGCCTCAAAACTGGAAGCTGCCAGATCAGTTCATATCCGTAAATGAGCCACGGGCCTTTTGTAAAATCAATGGCTCTTAATTACCCACCCAAGACCAACTCAATCTAAAGTACTTTGCATTACATTTCTCCTTTGGCTCCTGTGAAGGTTCAAGTGAGAGAGAACAAGGAAACCTGTTTTGAAGTCAGAAATGAAATAAGAATGTCCTGGAGCTTTGACCCTCTAAGCCAGTGGTGTCGAACTGTAGGGGTTCTTAACCTTTGTTACTCAGATGCTTTTGAACTGCAACTCCCAGAAACCCCAGTCAGGACAGCTGGTGGTGAAGGCTTCTGGGAGTTGCAGTCCAAAACTCCTGAGTAACCCAAGGTTAAGAACCAGTGGACTATATTACAGACTGGCCATTGGCTTTTGGGTATGCAAGATGTTGCGTATGTCAAGATGTGAAATTTTGTGTATATGTTAAAAAATTAAAAGGGGTGTAGGAAAAAAAAAAACCCTAAATCCTAAAAATGTACATAGATTTAAAAATGAGATTTGAGCCACAGTTAACTGAAAGTTACTGCTAAACAATCAGCCAGATCTCCACCCAAGTGTGAAACCAAGGTCAATGTACCTTTTTCAAGACATTGGAAAAAATCTCTTTCATGCTTGATAGTTGAAATGGAAAAACAATGGAGAGAAAAAAAAGAGAGCGAGACCTTCTAGAGTCCTAAAATGCAGATGGACCAAAGTGATACCTGACCAACATTTTATGTCCATGGAATTTTATTTACCTAGTAAAATGCTACCCAAGCAACTTACTATTTCCACAAGTGCAAGGACCCATTTAGTCAAAACAATGGCTGACATCTAGGCCAGTGGTCCCCAACTGTTTTGACACCACGGACCAGTTGGGGGAGGACGGGATCCGTGTGAAGGGAAGGCGGGGCACCCCCTGCACTTGTGCGCAGGCGCAAAGGGGTAGGGGTGATCGCACGGACGTGCACTCGCTCACATGAGCAAAGGGGTTGGGGGTGGGACATCTGTCTCCGCGGCCCAGGCCATGGACCGGCAATGGGCTGCAGACCAGGGGTTGGGGACCCCTGATCTAGGGAACTTGCCAGCCTTGTAAGTTACGAGAGTCAAATTTTGCCACTCTGTAAAAATAATAGCAATTTCCACTGGAATATTCTGTTAAAAAGGATCAGTAATTCACTAACTCAGCAAAACTCAATTGTTTACAGTTGGAGGGAAATGTAAAGGAGAGAAACATAAATACATGAAGACAAAGAGACACACAAGAAAACAACACAACACACTGAATGCCAAAAACAACGATACTGGGCACCAGACATCAAACAGCAGCAAGAGCCCACAAGGAACAGACAAAGACAACATCAGTTTATTCCACAGGTTCAAACTAGCTTGGCTGGATGAGCACATAGAGAATATTTTTCATGTGTATCCGATAATGTGCTTGAAAGTGAAAGATCGCTCAAAGCTATAAGGCTTTTTGACTTTTTAGTGATGTATCTTAGAGTTGTCATCTCTGCCTTTTCAATACGCCTTTTTAGGCTATAAAATCCTGCATTTGTCAGCATGTATGCTCCTGCAGATTTGAAACAGGTTTCTAGCATGGGTTAAGTTCTGCTCACAATTTAAGTTTTGCCTTTGAATGCACATTTGCTTGCAACTTCTCATAGCTGTATAGATTTGGGATGGCAATCACATCTGCAGCTTTGTGTGAGATTTAAGCCTTTGTGCCTACAGTTTCCCACAGTGGCAAGAGTTCTGGATGTTTTCAACAACTGTGTGGCATTTTTGTGCTTATGGCACATAGAAGCAATACAGAAGAATATGGCATGCTGATATTCCTTGGACTTCTTGCAGCCATGAGAAGACTTTTACCTTTATACCCGGGTGAATTCTGGTATGATTGGAAATGGCCATCTGATTTCATTCAGGAATTAACTCTTTTTTTCCTGGGATAAATGCCAGCTGTGATGAACACATTCTTCTAATGTTTTCCTTAAAGGTCTAAAAAGTTATGTGGGGCTTTTAGGAGATATTCAGGCAGCGGATTCTGACCTGGCATGTGAGTGAAAGGGATGTTTTGCTGTTCTGCCTTTCAAAGAATAAAAATTACATGCGGTCAAGTCCAGTCCGATGCATGGCGACCCTTTTCTATTCAGAAGAGGCTTACCATACCCTTCCTCTAGAGGGCGGCCTTGGACTGTGCAGCTTGCCCAAGGCTACACAGGTTGGCCCTTCTCCTTAGAGACCCAGTGGGGAATCAAACTCCCAACCTCTGTCTCTGCAGACAGATATCTAACTCTCACTGAGCTATCCAACCAGCTTTCAGCTCCGGAATAAAAATGTTACAGTAGAAGTACAGTGGTGCCTCGCTTAACGATTGCCCCACTCTACGACAAAATCGCTTGATGATTAGATTTTTGCGATCGCTTTTGCAATCACAAAACGATGTTTTAAATGGTTCTTTTTGTTTAACAATGATCGGTTCCCTGCTTCAGGAACCAATTTTCGCTTTATGACGATCAAAAACAGCTGATCGTCGGGTTTCAAAATGGCTGCCGGATGCTTAAAATAGCTCCCCACTGTGTTTTTGGACGGATTCCTTGCTTTACAAGCAGTGAAAATAGCCGCCCCATGGAGGATCTTTGCTGGACAGTGAGTTTTCAGCCCATTGGAACGCATTGAGGGGGTTTCAATGCATTTCAATGGGCTTTTTTAAATTTTGCTTTACGACGTTTTCGCTCTACAGCGATTTTGCTGGAACGAATTAATGTTGTTAAGCGAGGCACCACTGTAATTCATCCAGAGAATACCTTTTCTACACAATTTTCCTACTGCATCGGATTCAAGTGTTTATTTCTACCAGTGCTTTTCATTTCCTCTTCCCCCCCGTTTATGCTCTCTCTTTCTCTCTGTCTTTCCCTCTGTCCCCGCCACTGCAGACCACAGGCGGAAAGGAGCAGGTACGTTTGGGCATGCTGGCTTTGTGAAAAGGTGTATTTAGAGCAGAAGAAGATATAGAACATTTTAGGATTATGGAAAAAAAGTAATGATGATGGTGGTCATGATGTCCATGTCCATGATAGGCTGAGAATGAGCTTCCTTTTAATGGCTGATTTTTGTTCCTGGGATTAAAAGCCTCCCTCTTTCTTGGACTTTTCAAATTAAACGCCAGTAGGCATCCACGGCTTGACATTTCCACAGTTTGCCGCAGTCCTATATACAACGTACATAGCCCCTCGTGGCTTTTGTATAAGCAACTGAGCAAGGAACTAAGTAAATAAATAAAATCCGGTGGCCCTTGGAATTAATAACTAAATGGTAGCTGATGGGTATTGTGAACAATGATGTCTTTTTAAAGAGATTGGGTACCATCCTTTCCTTACTGCATGCCTTTTGTTTATACCAGTTGATGCATGCATATCATTTTGTTGTTGTCCCTTTCTATTATTTTCTGACGATATTTTAAAGGAACCACTAACTGCTTCTGAAGATTTTCCCCTCTTCCTGGGATTCACTAAGAACTCTCCGTATAATAGGTCCTTCTCTATCAGGAACCTTTCAGCTCTTTCAGGGGTTAATGGTCCTTCAGTACAGTTTTCAAAGCAGTGTTTCAGCGTGGAAGCTGCCTTTTGTTCCTGAGTAGAAGTATTGTTTTGTGGATTATTAAACTGTATTACTGAGTCACTATTGTCTGCCACTATTTCCACAGGAACTTCATCTTTTCCCTCAGCTGACCTTGACCACAGAACCCATAACTCCCCATTTCCAGAGCTGTTTCTGACTTGGACACACTTTACAGACACCTAGATATGACTTACCTGGAAGAAAGGCCTCGGCTGGAAGGGTCTGAGGCTTAGTTAGGCCTAGCTTCCAGTTTCTGTGAGACACATTTTGGTGTTTGTAAATTGTCTGTTGATCAGATAGAACTCTTAGAATGAAGTACTGGATTTGTTGACTAAGAAATTTTAAAACAGCCTACCATATTTTTCCGTGCATAACACCCCCAATATATAAAATGACCCTCCGTTTTGACCTTGTCTGCCTCCGTCTACCTATAAAGCAACCCTCAATTTTTCCTCTAATGATTTTAGGGAAAAGTGTGGTTTTCTACATGGAAAAATACGGTATTTATAGTTGTTGCTGTGTCAGAATCATTGACTTTGGCCCTCTTGGTATTTCGATTCTAACTTCCCTGCTATTAGCCATGTTGACTGTGGCTTCTGCATGTTGAAATCCTGCATGGTGAACCCCTAAGTTATGAGCCATCATGAACACGAGGTGTCCTCCTGGCTAAATTGTGAGTTTTCCTTCCTCATCGTTTCTTACAGATGTTTTTCCATTTGCTTTTCCAGGTACTTGGTGCTATGATTCACAAGACCCTAAATGTGGTAAGTCTGTGAACTAAGTGGTGGCAATATTCTGGGTGTGCCTTCACCCACTTGTAAGAATTTTCCTGGACCTCTTATCCTTGATCTAAGGAGGGCAGGTACCTTCAAAGCTCTGTTGGCAAGTCCAACTCCAGGTTTAAGTCAGAGATTAGAAACGTTACTCTTTTGGGCTATAGCTCCCAGGTTCCCCCAGAGACCATGAGTGGCGGAGAAGTTTGGAGTTGCAATGCAAATAATAATAATAAAAAAGGCCAAGCCCTAGTTGGACTGGGCCTTCTGGACATTTGTGATTGGCCCCTTCCAGCTTTGGTGGACCTCTACCTGTTTGTTTGCCAGGTGGTAGGAAGGAGAACCAGCCATTTTAATGCCCCAGGGTGGCCCAGTGGATGATATACAGTGGTGCCTCGCACAGCGAAGTTAATCCGTTCCGGATTAACCCTCACTGTGTGAAAGCATCGTTGAACGGGGCAGGAAAAGCCATTGGAACGCATTAAACATGGTTTAATGCATTCCAATTGGGCCAAATACTCACCGTTCAGCGATGCTTCCCTATGGCCGGCAGCCATTTTTGCGCCCTCCCCTCGCTTAACAAGGGCGCAAAAACGCTGCGCGCGGCCATTTTGGGGCTTCCGGCGGCCATTTTGTAGCCGCAGAACAGCTGATCGGTGGGTCGCAAATCGCTCTGCGATTTTCGCCCATTGGGGCTGTCGCTCTGCGATCGCATTAGCGATCGAAAAAACGTCCCCGTAGAGCGAATTCATCGCTCTATGGGGCGCTCGTTGTGTGAAGCACCAATGTATTTGCATTGTGGGGAAATTAATGGCTGGACCTCCTACTAGTGGTTGCATTCTCCCTACCCATTCAGAGTGAGGGCATGACCGTGTTTTGTCCTCGCTCGAAGCTGACTTTGTGGCCTTGTCACATAGGCACCCCACGGGTGCTGAGAAATCATGGCGCCACAATTATTCTTTGGACCAAACACTGAAGTGTCTGGCTACAGTTTCCTAGGAAAAGCACAGTTCACTAACTACCTTTTTGCTCTTCTTGAGTTTAAAGACCCTTTTATGGGGTTTTAGCTGCTATATTAATGTGCTAGGTTTTCCTACTTCTTATTCACACTGTACTTTACTCTACTTATGCTGCAGTGGAGGACATTGCTTTGAGTATAGCTTATTGAATATATTTTGGGCTAAAAATCCCCACTCTTTTTCCTCCAGGTAAGTGGTTTCCAACCTTGGGTCCCCAGATGTTCTTGGACTGCAACTCCCAGAAGCCTTCACCACTAGCTGTGCTGGTCAGGATTTCTGGTAGTTGTAGTCCACGGTTGGGAGCCAATGGTTTAGATCAGTGGTTCTTAACCTTTGTTACCCGGATGCTTTTGAACTGCAACTCCCAGAAACCCCAGTCAGCACAGCTGGTGGTGAAGGCTTCTGGGAGTTGCAGTCCAAAACTCCTGAGTAACCCAAGGTTAAGAACCAGTGGTTTAGATGCATGCTGGTATTTATGAATGTAGTCTACTCTTTCCCTCTCAGCGAAGCATCACATACTCAAATATCAGGTGTGACTCTTCTTCCCCAGCACCTGTCCCTTGGTGCCGTTTTAACTGGTGATGATGAGGTTCGAGTCAGAAGGATAGGAAATGAAAATCTGTCCGTTTCACTCTCCCATGTTCACATTTGTTTAACGTCAAATTCTTCAATAGTCTCTCGAGACTGAAGGATGCCTACTAACCTCAAATTCTTCCCAGTGATGAGGAAACTTACAAGGCTGAATGAATTCATGTTGACAATAAAGTAGAATGGACCACCCGGACATTCCTACCTCAGATGTTTCTCAGGTCAAGTCTACAATACAGTTCACCAGACATTAGAAGCAGATTTCTCTAAAGTAATTTTTAGAGCACCATAATTTTAATTGCATTTTAATTGTTTTATCTTTTTTACTGTATTTAAATTGTTGTAAGCCACCCAGAGACCTTTGGGTAGTGTTGGCAGCATATTAGATAGATAGATAGATAGATAGATAGATAGATAGATAGATAGATAGATAGATAGATAGATAGATAGATAGATAGATAGATAGATAGATAGATAGATAGATAGATAGATAGATAGACAGACAGACAGACAGACAGACAGACAGACAGACAGACAGACAGACAGACAGATAGATAGATAGATAGATAGATAGATAGATAAAAGACTTAATAATAAGCCAACTAGAAATTCTCCTAAATTTTGAACATTGCAGATTAGTTGCCTTGTGGTGGATTGTTGGCAAGCGAACAAGGGCTTTCTTTGCAAATCAATTGCTCGGGAATGGTGTTTTGAAGGCATTCCGTTTCTGGAGGGAAAAAATTACTATCAGGGACTAACACGGTCTTAACTATATTGGATGACTAAAATTAGCTACTGTTGTGCATAAATAACACAGGGAAGCCCTGGAAGAGAAGAAAACCAAACAGGATTATAATGGATGCTGCTTTGGTCTTCAGAGACTTTTATCGTCCCCCGAAATAGCTTTGTTTAGTCTGTCAGACCAAATATAAGCCTAGTGAGGAAATCCTGTTGAATTATAGATAAGAAAAAGCCGGTACTTTATTATTAATGAAGGTCATCGAAGGAGGGGGGGCATCTTTGTCGGAGAGGCAGAAAGAACGAGGCTGGAAGGCTAATGAGCATTTTGGCCATGGCATCTGCATAACGCAACTACACTGGCTGAGGTGTTGATTTTACCACAATCCTTTTTTAAAAAATCAATACAAATGGCTTCCATTTAACCGATGCTGGGGGAAAGTTAAAGGCTCTTCCTTACGTTGGGTCAAGGTTGTCATATCTAGGAGCAAATAAGAAAGTTCCAGCAGATGTGGGGGAGAAATTAGAACGAGGGGGAAGTAATACCATGTGACAGAACTGTTTGGGGAGAAGACGAAGAAGCATCTTTCAGATCAATACATATTTCCAGCACCTGCCTTTTGCCAAGAGAAACTTGATTCGCTGCTTCCCTGTTTGACGTCCATCAAATCTCACGAGTGCGAGAGTGTATTCCGTTCGATTATTTGAAACTATAGGTCATCGCAGTGCGGAAAAGAAATAGGAAGAATAACCCGAAACTGGAAATTAAAAAAAAATTAAACAACTTAAACATCAGTCAACACCAATAATTCGTAAATCCGAGGCTACAATTAAATCCCATGCACAATGTTCCACAACCCCAAACTTGAATGTTTTATACGTATTTCTCAGATATCTGTTCCCCCATTAACATGAGAGTGACAGTATGTATGCCATCAACAAGGAGGACCAACGTGGACACAGATTTGAACGAAGGGTTTGTCTGCCAACAGTGTATGCCAGGGATTATATATAATCATAGAATTATGGGGTTGAAAGGGGCCTGTAAGGGCATTGTGTCCAACCCCCTGCTCAGTATAAGACTCCAAATCCAAGGAGACCTGACAGATGGCTGTCTGATTTTCTCTTGAATGCTACCAGCACTGGAGCACTCACCATCTCCTGACAAAATTGATTCCATTGTTGTACTGCTCTAACAGATAAGAAAACTTTCCTGATATTCAGCCTAACCAGTGCTGAATAGAGGACAACTAGTACTTCATAAGATTTGGGAACTATATTTCTGCTAATGCATCCTAAAATAGTACTCTTTTTTGGCAATCTCATCACACTGTTAGCTCATATTCAGCTTTGGATCTACAGTGATTCCAAGATCCTTCTTGCATGTAATATTGCTGAGCCCTCATCTTGTAAATGTGCATCTTTTCCCCCTCTACATGTAGAAACTTGCACTTATGGCTGTTAAATTTCATTCTGTTGCTTTCAGCCCAGCGCTCAAGCCTAGCAAAATCTGTGTTCTCGAAGGCTTTTGTGACCAGAATCCGATGGTTGGTGTAGGTTTTTCAAGCTGTTTGGCCGTGTTCTGGAGGTTTTTCTTCCTAACGTTTCGCCAGTCTCTGTGGCCGGCACCTTCAGAGGACAGGAGTTAGAACAAAGACTCAACTACCCCCCACACTACGCGAGAACACAGACAGAGTTCTAACTCCTGTCCTCTGAAGATGCTGGCCACAGAGATGGGCGAAATGTTAGAAGAAAAACCTCCAGAACACAGCCAAACATCCCCAAAAAAACCCCCCTACAACTACCAAGATCCCTTTGAATTTTGTTTCTGTCTTCCAGGGTGTTAGCTATTCCATTCAGTTTTGTGTCGTCTGCAATACCCAGTGAGTGTTCCACTTCAGTGTGTGAATAGACAGGTCACGAGAGACACTTCTTAATTTCCAAGGACTTGTCCTTTAGCAAAGCAAGGTGTGCTGCTTATATACTGATCCCTACCACTTAAAACAGTCTCCAGGCAGTTTACATGTTATTTATGCAGGCTATCCTGTGAGCTAGGTACCCATTTTACTGACCTTGGAAGGATGGAAGACTGAGTGAACCTTGAGTTGGCTAGCTGGGATTGAACCAGTTTTGGCTGAAGTACAGCAGCTTAACCACTGTGCCATGAGGCTCTTCCTACTCCGCTTTTGTTTATCAGCTGAGCTGTTTTGTCCATGGATCGCCCCCCACCTTTTTTTTCACTCTCTTATCCTCTTTAGGCCCTTTGCATTGGAAGGACATCGCATCTCACTGTGGAGGACAGAACCAATCGCCCATCAATATCGTCCGAAGAAAAGCACAACGGGACAAGAACCTCGAGGAGATTTTGTTTGAAGGATACGACCAAGCCCCTACTGGCAGGTGGAGGCTGCTGAATGATGGACACACCGGTGGGTGTGGTGGGGACAACTGAATCTGGGGGTTCTGTTGTCCGTTATTTTGTCCCTCGACTCTTTCTTTTCTCACTGCGCCTCTTTTGCAGTCGTAATGAACCTGGATGGAGCTTCCACTGCAGAACAAATTAACATCACCAGAGGTGGCCTTGACGACGTGTACCGGGCGTTGCAGTTCCATTTTCACTGGGGGGATCTCAACAGGAATGGCTCAGAGCACACCATTGATGGGAAACAGTACCCTATGGAGGTAAGCTGGCCACACAATAGGGAGTCTTCTGGGGTGGAGGAGGCTTACACCATTGCCGTTTTGTCCCCTCTTTAAGCTATAGGATACCGGCTTTGTGGTCTGGCTTTCCTTCAAGGACCTCCAGCGAGACATGCAGCTCGGGCTTTCTGAAGGGCAAGAAAACAGGAGAAAACCTGGGAAATCAATATGCAAAAGTTGGGAAGTTGGCAAAATTTTTTGATCTAGGTAGGGATGATCTGAGGGCTCCCAAACGTTTGGAAGGTGTGGTGGCCATCTCACGAAGTCCAAAGGGTTTGTAGGGGAAGCCAGAATTATCCCCAGGTCTCTAAAGGTAAAGGTAAAGATTCCCCTTGACAATTTTTGTCCAGTCATGTTCGACTCTAGGGGGCGGTGCTCATCCCCGTTTCCAAGCCATAGAGCCAGCATTTGTCCAAAGACAATCTTCCGTGGTCACATGGCCAGTGCGACGTAGACACGGAACGCTGTTACCTTCACCGAAGTGGTCCCTATTGATCTACTCGCATTTACATGCTTTTGAATCGCTAGGTTGGCAAGGAGCTGGGACAAAGCGACGGGAGCTCACTCCGTCGCGTGGATTCGATCTTACGACTGCTTGGTCTTCTGACCCTGCAGCACAGGCTTCTGCGGTTTAGCCCGCAGCGCCACCATGTCCCCAATGCCGAGGGCTCTACATTCCTCTTTTAGAGCAATCAACAAAACTTATTCCAATGATGGCAATGATCATGTCAGTAGCAATGATCCATGCTGATTCTTGGAATGAGATGAGGAGCTGGATCAGAATTTCTGCGTAATGTAAAAGATGTTTAATGGCCCCTGTTGCTTTGGGAAAAATCTTCCTCCCCCCCCCTTGATTTGGAAGGAAATATGCTCAACTTCAGGAGGCAGTGGAAGGCAGGAGGGCCTGGCGTGCTCTGGTCCATGGGGTCACGAAGAGTCGGACATGACTAAAGGACTAAACAACAACAACATGCTCTTGGAGAAAAGAGCAGCACTGGGGAGAAATGTGTAAGTGTAGAGATGGGCATCAGGCACAAAGATGGGCACAAAACGAGCCATTGAGAAATCCCTCCCAAGAAACTGGGCTGTTTTCATTTCAGGGGGCTTCATGGAAATGTGCCCACCTAGAATAAAACACAATGGCAAACTGTCATTAGCATTGGCGATGCTTCATGCAAATCAGGATTTCCAGGACTTATAGAATGGCCTCTGCACGGCTTAGAGATGCGAAACTCACAGCAGGTCTTCAGCTGACTCTCCTCCACACGCCCCTCCACGTTTTATGAAGATTGGGTTTGGGACGTCTAAGGTACAGCTCCCCCAAAGTAGGTCCCCCTCCAGGAAAATACTCTTTAGCCAACTAAATGGGGCCATTCTACAAATCCCAGAAGTTTTGTATTGCACAAACCATGAAATGTTTCATTTCATTGGAAAGTTCATGGTTTGTGAATCATGATGAGTCACGAACCATCACCAATTGCCATTTTCCTGGTTCGTTCCCATCTCTAATCAGGAGGGGGAACATTTTGAGAGTGATCAATGTTTCTGCACCAGAAATGGGTCCGGAATTACCAAATCCATCAACCCCATCCTGTAAAGGGGCCGATTTCTGTATTTTCTGCCAAAAAGGTCTAGTTGCTACCCCTTTATTTGATGCTCATGAAATCTAGGACAGCTGGTCTCTTTCCGTCCACCTTTATCGGGTTGCTGGGGGGGATCTTTGGCAGAGGCGTAGGACAGACATTTAATAAAACAGCAGAACAGAGTAAACAACACCTCTATTGAGTAACGTCAAACTCCCACATGTTTCCAGTAGTTCTTTGCCTGCATTCAATGTCTGCATCAATAACTCATCAAGAATTATTGAAATGCCTCCAACACAAGCTAGTGCATCTCCAGCCGTACCGCATTAAGTAGACACAAGGGGCCGGTGTTTGTTCAAAGCCCAGGCAGGAGAGGCACGGAGTAAATAAACCCAAATCCATTAGCTGTATTCTGAATGTGAAACCATTAATTAAGGAAGATTCTGCCGTTTAGAAGGAGGCAAAATTGGACAGTGCAGCTTTTCATCACGATTGTGGGGAAAGCAAAGAATACATGAAAGGGCTTTTGATGACCTCTGGATAATCATGGACATCATCTCCTCTCCTTTAGTGGCTATATAAGAGTAATAATTAGGATAATAATAATAAAACCAGTCACTCAAACCTATTGCCAGTTGTTGCCATCCGACAGCAAAGTACCTCTTCAAGGTAAGGTACTGCAACACAATATTACTACCCCATTTCTACCAAACGTTGTTCTAGATTACTCTTGCTCTTTGCTGCCTTTGTGCGTGACCCTTCCATTACCCCTTCCTGACTCATTTACAGTTTATAACAACAGACTCTCATCTGCTGGATTTTGTGTCTTGTTGGATGGCTTCTTGAGCTGTGTAACCTATTTAGTGCAAGTTGCTGGTCATCTTCCAGGGTTCAGTCCCTCCTCTGTGATCTTTAGAAGTGAAACCCTAGAGTGGGGAATCAATGCAGCCCTCCCTTTCTTTCTGTTGCTAAGGGAGTGAGTTCTGATCCTCACAAAGCCAAAAACAGCACCCCACCAATTCGCAAGAGAATATGCCATAGGCCTGGGGAAATTTCAGAGTTTGCAAAAATTATTTTTAAAAAATCTGCAAGGGCTTTCAAAAAACGGTTTTCGTAGTTTGCTGCCTGTGCGCCGAGTGCACAGCTGGTTGTGTGTTGACTTGCACAAACACACCAAGTCAGTTGAAGGTTGTGCACATGATGTGTACAAGATTGCTGGTTTATGCTCGGCTGTTTCAGCAGGATACTGGCCTTTGTTATTTTTGCTGCAACAGAATATAGACAACTACCTTTTGGAAATATTTGAAACTCAGTGGTTTGGATAGCTTAGTAGTTTACATATATGGCTATGGATCCAGAGGCTGCAAGTGTGATTCCCTACTATGCCTCCTGCAGGCACAGCCAGCCCGTGTAGCCTTGGGCAAGATGCACAGTCCCAGGGTGTCCCCAGAGGAAGAGAATGGTAAGCTGCCTACCTAGAAAACCCTGGAAAGGGTCTGTGATAAGTGAGAATCAAGCCGAAGGCTCCTCCTCCTCCTTTACTGTAAAGCTCTGATCTGCAGCCTCCTTAGACTCTATATCAACCTGCAGACTCCCCATTTCCTACAGTTGCAGTTTCACAAAAGTGTCCCATTTTGCTGACGGCTTATTTATTTGTTTGTTTTATTTATACGCTGCCTTTCTCCCAATAAGGGGACCCAAGAATAACCCTCTCTCTCTCTTTTTTTTCCTGGCAGTTGCACATCGTCCATATGAATGCCAAGTACAAAACGCTAAACGAAGCCAAAGGGCACCCCAATGGAGTTGCTGTCTTGAGCTTCTTGTTTAAGGTATCTGAAAGAGGTGCCGTTTACCTGGCCAGAGGGATTTGTGAGGGCAGGTTCCATTGATGCCTGCTGCCCATCTGCTTAAAAGAGACAGAATCCTCCCCAACTCTCATCAACTCAAGTTGTCTCAAAGGGATGTGAGATACCCCCTGCAAGGAATTCTTAAGACCTATGGGATTTCTTGTCTCTAAGAGCAAGGGGGGAGGGCTTTTCCCTTCATATGGTGTCCAAAACATCCTTTGAGGAACAAGCATGTCCGTATGTGTGCATCTAAACAGATGCACACAGCAAATATAGGATTGGATGACCCAAAAAGACACAAGCTACCCATCCGCTGCTTGTCGTCCTTAAAAGACCATGCAACAAAGCAGCCACATTGATAGTTTCCCTTGTTGCATACTTTGCCCAAACGTTATTCTCAGCCAAGTAGGACTTTCCTCAAGAGTGCCAGAAAATACTACGCTTCTAAGAGAACAAATTTTCCATCCTTGGAACAAGTCAGGATTCACCCGTTCCATGTTCATTCAGTTGCCTGTAATTTAGATTTCCAAGTCTCAGTGGTTAAAGGTGGTTGAAGCACTGGAGAACCACCAAATTGTGATTCTGTAAGGCTGGGCAGACACTTACCACCGATACATATAAGAAGGATGCAGCCTTCTGGTATGAACTCAAACATGGAAGTAAATGCATCTGTTGAAAACTTCTTTTTACCAAGGGGACAATTAAGGGAAATGTAAACTAGACCATTGGAGCTTTAAATTAAAAAACAGAAGGTGAAGCTTAATTATTAAATATGTTGCTAAGATAAACACAGCACTGAATTGCTGGTGCAAAGCTGAAAAACAGGCTGGAAAGCAATCAACACAATGATTGTAATGCAGACCCCTATTACTTAATGTTTAGGCATTCATTAATGTATCACACTGTATTAATGGCACTGCTTTGCAGTAAATTATATAATATTGGCTCAAATCCTATTGGCTCAAATCCTAACCTGCAGCATTCTCAGCTGCAGGTTAACTTTACTTTTCAAAAATGATTTTAGACCTCACGGATGCAGAAATATGAAAGCAGCATTGGAATAGATTACTTCAATTCCCTTTCAAAATCTTTCTTTCATAAACCTTTTGTGGAGCCGCCGATCAGCTGTTAGAATCGTCCTCTTGCTAAGTATCGGTCCCGAAAAAAAAGTGTCTTCCCAAGCACGGACTGAAACGTCGCATCGCGAAACTCCCCCATAAGAAACACTGTTTTGCGAAGCGCAATGGCGGTCGCAAAATCTCGTCGTCATGCGGGTTCGTTGTTTTGCGGGGTCATCGTCTTGCGAGGTACCACTGTACATGAAATGGGTTTCTTCACTCTTCACTTTCTGTTGCAGGCATCTGATGCAGATAACACCAATTACAACACAATCATAGCTGGCCTGAAAAACATTTCTCGTCCAGGTAAGCATGAGAGTTGAAGCATGCATTTTCAATGCTCTGATTTGTTACTAACTTGGTTTATTTTCACCCCTGCTCCTGCTTCTCACATTGAATTCTATGTGAAGCTACTTCTTTCGAACAAGTTGTTACAGAAAATAACTTGCGTTGCCAGATTCTGTAATGCTGCTGTGCTCGCCCGCAGATGTATGATTGCCAGAGTTTTTAGTTCTGCAAACCATACATAGTGCTCTGTTTATAAATGGTTTTATTATGTAAACTGTATATCTTTTTACTAATATCTCTTTATAAGGTTTTATTGTATTAAATCTTTTAGTATCATTTAACGTGGTAGCACTGTGGGTTAAACCGCAGAAGCCTGTGCTGCAGGGTCAGAAGACCAAGCAGTCGTAAGATCGAATCCACACAACGGATTGAGCGCCCATCGCTTGTCCCAGCTCCCGCCAACCTAGCGGTTCGAAAGCATGCAAATGCAAGTAGATCAATAGGACCACTTCGGTGGGAAGGTAACAGCGTTCCGTGTCTAAGTCACACTGTCCATGTGACCACGGAAGATTGTCTTCGGACAAAACGCTGGCTCTATGGCTTGGAAACGGGGATGAGCACCGCACCCTAGAGTCGAACACGACTGGACAAGAATTGTCAAGGGGAACCTTTACCTTTACCTAAGTTTGGGTTAACAACTGTAAATAAATACTTACAGTAATGAAAGACGTGTTCGTAACATGTGATTCCCCCCCCCACTTCCTTATCTTGCATTTAGAGTGATTTGTTTTGTGATTGGTTGCTGGAAAAGTAATGTAGGCTTACTTGACAAAGTCTGATTGGCTCAGCCTGCATCTTTGAGACCATCCCATTAGCAGATGGAAGGCTGACTAATCAGACGGGATAGGCCCTCTCCACAGCATCCTCTCCTAATTGCTTTTCCCCCCGACCTGGCATAAAACACAGAATGGAATTCTTCCTTTTCCACCAGCGGTTTCTGTTTCTCTGCCTAGAGGAGTACGTTGACTTGGCGTCCACATTTCCCCTGAGCAATCTTCTGCCCAACATGGCCTTGCTTTCCAAATATTACCGCTACAAGGGTTCCCTCACCACCCCGACCTGTGACGAAGTGGTCGCGTGGACCGTGTTTGAAGAACCAATTCCAATCAGCAAGCCGCAGGTAACTAAAATAAACTTTCTTCTAGAGCTTGGAACTAACATGATTTAAGTAATTCTGTTACTGTAACAAGTTACTTTTCTAGGTGACAAGAAACCTAACAGATGTAATGTAATGAGTAGGAACAAAGTTCCTTTATTTGTGTGATGAGTCATGATTTCTAGTTACTTCCAGAAGTGTCTTTTAAAGGGGCGTTTTCTCCAAGGATTTTATTGCTTGCTCTCGCTAGTCCTAATTCTGTTTTCGAATGTGTGGTGCCAGAAGCTAACAGAAAAAGTAGCAAACAGAAATGAGTTAGTTGTTGTGGGTTTTTCAGTTTCTTTCGCCGTGTTCTGAAGGTTCTAAAGGACAACCTTCAGAACACGGCCAAAGAACCCGAAAAAACCCACAACAACCATCAGATCTCGGCCGTGAAAGCCTTCGAGAATACAGAAATGAGTTACTTCTTCAGCGTTAGAATAAGCAATGGCAGTGGTTTGCTTTTTGAACGCTGCAAAAATTAATGGGAATTAATAGCTTTAGAAAAGCAACTACAGTGGTGCCTCGCTTGACGAGGATAATTCGTTCCATTCAAATCGCTGTTAAGCAAAATCCTCGTCAAGCGAAATTAAAAAAACCATTGAAATGCATTGGGTCCCAATGGGCGAAATACATACTCATTTTGCGAAGATCCTCCATAGCACCATTTCCCAGTGCCTGTAAAGCGAGGAATCTGTCCTAAAGCACAGCGAGGAGCCATTTTGCACAGCAGATAGCCATTTTAGACCCGCCAATCAGGTGTTTTTAAATCATTGTCTAGCAAAAAATCAGTTCCTGAAGCAGGGAATCGATCATCGTTAAGCGATTTTCCCCCATAGGCATATCGTTTTGTGATCGCAATAGCGATTGCAAAAACTTCATAGTAAAGTGGTTTTTAGTTTAATGAGGTAATCGTTAAGCGAGGCACCACTGTAGCCAAATGTTTATACCCCTTCCCTTATAAGCCTGTTCAGATTCTTGAAGGTAGAGCCTTCTCTGAGCGCCACCAAACTCAGGCATGTTTTGTGTTATGTGAAAGACAGTTATGGTGGTGGCCTTTCCAAGGTGCTGGAGTTTGCAGAGGGAGCCCAGGGCCTCTCCTGTCCTTCTGCTGGCAAGTAACCATCTTCCCCCACAGCCCCACAAGGCCCCGAGAGGGTGGTGGCTCCCATGTCAGGAGGAGGTTGGCCCCATTCCTGCAAGTGAACCACTCTCCCAAGAAGCTGTTGGGGAATTTCTCCCCTTCCAGAAAAGGTGAGAGGAAACGGTCCTCCCTGCCTGCAGAAACTCTGTGGAGAATTCCAGAAGCTCATATCTGTGAAGATTCTCTGTCCTCCAGGTGAGGTTACCTGGAAGATGAGTCATGGCCACTGGGCCTCTTTCTTGTTGGGTTGAAACGTTTCAAGAAAGAAATCCAGTTGTCTGTTCGTTCAGCTCTGTGAAAGGTAGCTTTTGTTCAGAGTTGTGGCAATCTGCTTAAATTCCCTTAAAACATGTAACAGAAGCCCGGCTAATTCAGGTCAGAATTAGCCAAAAGCCTCCCTCTGCAGCTCCACCCCTTTCCCAAAGCTAGCACTTTATAGAAATAAGTCTCAGAAGGCTATCTTTAGGTATAGAAAGAACGGAAAAAAAGGGGGGGGGAAGTATTTTGTTCATGATGAGCAGGCGTCATAGAGATTCAGAAGTTATGAAAAGAAAAATAGAAGGTTCAAAGTGGCAAGAGATGGAGATCCAGCCCCATGTGGCTGGGAAATCTCCATCCTTCCCTGGGGATTTCTTGGAAAAAGACTAAAAATGGCCGACAGACAGGAAACAACGGAACATAGGGAGGAAGAGGAGAGGTTTCTTCTAGCTGGGGAGAGGGAGAGATAAACCCATGTATTGTGTTCATAATGTGAATAAACAGGCACCTTAGTTTCGTGAAAGGGGCTTCCCCCTCCCACAATTCCATGTGTTGGATTTGCATGCGAGTTTGCTAATTTGCCGGTAGATCCTTCAGAGGAGAGCGTACACCAGTGGAGTGTGCTCGCTTCCCACGAAAGAGCTGAAGTTCAGCTCCATAGCAAACTGAGAGCTGTAATGATTTATGTTTTAAATAACCGGCAAATCATTCTCCACTTTCCTTCCTTCCTTCAGCTGAATGCCTTCGCCAGCACCCTTTACTTCAAAACCATCGGCGTGACGCCGCTGAAAATGAGCAACAATTTCCGTCCTCCGCAATCACTGAACAGCCGCAAAGTCTTTGCCTCCAGAGATGCTACCATCAGTGGTGGGCCTTCCTTGGCTGACAGTCAGATCTTTCTTCTTGTTTTGGCTTGTACGGCTGGCTGGCTCTCTGGCCCCTTCTGGCTGCCCTGAAGGATAGTTGAAGTCAATCACAAGCGATGGATACTTCACAGCATCTTCATGCCCATAGTTTTTCACTGTGATCCTTTTCAAGGCGCTGGGTTGGGGGAAAACTTAGGAAAACTGTTTAGGAATGACCCATCTCCAAACAATGGGGTCTAAGATAGTCACGGCTCACTTGCCCCATAGTTTCAAATACTTGTTTCCCGAGCACTACTAAATCTGGACCCAATCCACTGAACCAAATGATGCATGAACTGGCAAGAAAGAGGAAGAGGATACACAACTTTTTAATTTTTTTGCTTATTTGTTGATTTTCGAATTTTGCTAAGAGATACATATTCATGACGTATGAGTAGGGGATAGTCCTGTGGAAATCAAAGGCCTCCACCATACAATCCATGTGCCATGTGGGAGTGAAATTGAGGTTAGGATAGAGTAAAACATTCACCTTTGCCGATTTTTGGAGTGATGGTGGCAGCATCAGCATGCAGGAACATGGTGTACAAGTGACCTTTCCATCAGAATGTGAAATACTTAAATGATGTTGAATTGAAATTATAATGAATAAATAAAAGAGCTCTTAATTTTTCCATGAACATGGCCCAAGTCAATCATTCTTAAACTGCAGAGGATTAAATACAGTGGCTTGTTCACAAATACAGTGGTGCCTCGCTAGACAATGATAATCCGTTCCACTGAAATCACTGTTTAGGGAAACCGTCTAGCGAAAAGCATTTCCCCATTGGAATGCATTGAAACCTGTTTAATGCATTCCAATGGGAAAGAATCGTCGTTGTCTAGCGAGGATCGGCCATAGGAAAGCCGCTTTGTGAACCTCTGATCAGCTGTTTAAATCACTGTCTTGCGAAACTTAAGTCCCGAAAACCACCTGTTTTGCGAGCATGGAGCTGTCAAAATTGTTGTCTAGCGAAAATCGGTTTGCGGAGCAGGCACCAAACATTGTCCAGCGAAATTCCCCCACAGGAATCACTGTTTTGCGAATCGCTATAGCGATCGCAAAAAGTCAATGTCTAGGGAAAACACTGTCATGCGGGGTAACTGTCTAGCGAGGCACCACTGTAACAGAAATCTGTTATGCTATCAGTGACAGGAAATCTCCCCGACCTCCTATGACAGTCATTTCAGTTCGACTGCATACCTTGAAGCAGTCCCCTACAATTGCAAAGGCAACTCCATTTATTCAGCCAGCATGACTACAGATCAGAAGAAAGGAGTTACAGCAGCCAGAGACAACCTCGAGAGCCCCATATCTCAGACCGGTCTTTCTTCAAAGGCACTACCCAAATTTTGGACCTCCCACAATTATTCCCAGTGCCTTCAAAAACGGAGGCAGTGGTGAACTCAGAGATACATTCTTCCTTGTTGATGAAGCACTTATTTGGCTTCACCTCAGAGGCCTCTTTGGAACAAACAGCCTGATGATGTGTACAAATCAGTATGACATGGGCAGAAAAAGGCAAGTGATATACAGTGGTGCCTTGCATAACGAGCGCACTGTTTAACGACGAATCCGCATAGCGATCTATTTTTTGCAATTGCTAATGCGATCGCATTGCGATGTTTTGAATGGGAAAACATCACATTGCGATGATCGGTAAGCGTTTCGCTTACCGATGTTTGCATTGCGATGTTTTTAGAACAGCTGATCAGCAGTTCCAAAATGGCCGCCGGGTGCCCAAAATGGCCGCTGCAAGCATTTTCGCGCAGTTTCCTCCCTTACCGAGGCAGTGAAAATGGCAGCGCTATGGAGGATCTTCGCCGAACAGTGAGTTTTCACCCCATAGGAATGCATTAAACAAAGTTTAATGCATTCCTATGGGTTTTTTAGTTCCGTTTAGCGATGTTTCCGGATAGCGATGATTAATTCGGAACAGATTAACGTCGCTATGCGGGGCACCACTGTATATTAACAATCCACTGCTTTTTGGAACGTGGGTGATACAACAGACTCCACAGATCTAGTTTCAGATGACCTAACTTCTGGACATCTCTTTCATCTCACGACTAGGCCCTTTTCCTGCTAGAACGGTGCTTCCCAACCTAGGGCAACCCAGATGTTCTTGGCATCAACATCTTGAACTACAACTACCAGCAGTCTTGACCAATACAGCTAGTGCTGGAGGCTTCTGGGAGTTTTAGACCAAGAACATCTGGGGAACCAAGATTGGGAACTATCGCGCTAGACATTTCCTCCATCTTATTTTAAGTCAAAAGCACAACACAAAGAAAGGCGCATGTTTTGGCTTCTGTTAAAGCTCTCCATCAATCAATGGCGCTCAGAAAACAGAGAGTTAAATGACAGAAGGACATGGTGGAGAAAGACGGGACAGACAGATCGTGCTAGGTTTTGATTCGAGACAAGGGGGTGGATGGGTGACAACTTTACTAAAATAATTATTTTGGGCAGCTAAGTCAATTCTGACTTAAACGGTGAGCCTTTTCAGGGTTTTCTAGGTAGAGGTCACTCGGCAGTGATGGACCGTTCCCTTCTTCTGGGGATGCCCTATGTAGCCTTGGGTGGGTTGCCCAAAGCTACATAGGTTGGCTCTTCTGGGATGCACAGTAGGGAACTGAATTCCCAACCAATGGCTCCACAGCTAGATAGATAAACGACTTAGCTATCCAGCCAGTGATGCTTTTATTAGACCACCAAGCATTAAAATCAGAAGCTAGCTTTTCGCCTTCTACATTCTGAGTAAAGGGATCACCCGCCTTTGCTTTCAGATCATGTACAAGGGCCACACAGTATTTTTTTGTTTTGTTATGGATTCATGATGAAGAGTGATGGAGATTTTGAAGTTGGCTGGCCTTTCGTGGTCTAGTCTACTGCAGAATACTCTTCAAGCCCATCTGTGTCCTTTATACACATATAGACACAGGTTGTCTACCTCTGTGGTAGATTAAGGAACGTTGGCTCACAGAAAACCACGTATTGGATGAAGTTCAGTACTAAGTCGTAACTAGAGTAGTCCCACTGAATCAGTGGGGATTTGGTGACTCCTTTCTAACATCTATTGATTCAATGGGTTTACTCTAGCTATGACTTACCACAAGACTTCAGCCACTGTCTCATGTCCTGAAGTCATTATTCTATGACTAGCTGTTTTGGCACCATCTCCTAACTGCTTTTAAGGCATTGGGATGAATCCCTCCAAAAAGGGTGATGGAGGATAATAGAGTGTCCCCTCAAGAGAAAGAGAAAAACCACGTATTGGATGAAGTTCAGTACTAAGTCGTAACTAGAGTAGTCCCACTGAATCAGTGGGGATTTGGTGACTCCTTTCTAACATCTATTGATTCAATGGGTTTACTCTAGCTATGACTTACCACAAGACTTCAGCCACTGTCTCATGTCAAATCAATCCTGAACAGTCATTATTCTGACTAGCTGCTTTGGCAGCGTCTCCTAACTGCTTTTAAGGAATTGGGATGAATCCCTCCGAAAAAGGGTGATGGAGGAGAATAGAGTGTCCCCTCAAGAGAAAGAGAAAGTTTATACTCTTGGTAGAGTGTGGGAATGTATGGATTAAAAACCTCTAGCTAAGTGGATAAAAGTTCAGGGGCCTATAGAGCAGAATTAGCTTCAAGCCTCCCTTTTTTGCATTTTCTTCTCCTTGACTGGCACTTACTATCTCAATAACTCACTCAGAGATGGTGGTATGAGGAAGAATAAAAAGTTCCATTTACTCCCAGTTCAGAGTAAATAAAAAACCAACAGCATTCTGTGGAAAATTAATGACAGCTTAACGGACTAACTGGCTTCATGACTGGCTCGCTACATGGCTAACAGAATTCTGACAGAAAAAGAGAGGGGGAAACACTCTTGAGTAGCTTAGCTCTCTTCAAAATCTGAACAATTGGCTGCTTCTGGACTGACCGATAGTCGCGGCAGTCCAGAAAGGTTCCTCCTAGCCAAAACCTCTTAAAGGCAGCAGACAACGGTTGCAATAATGTCAACATATACCTTCAGACAAGGAAAGTGAGTAGGGCAAACACAATAGACACACACGGGGGGAGAGAGAGATATATAGAGAGAGATTTGGGGAAATACACAAGACTTCTGCCTGGCAGTCACTCCACTCTGTCAAGCTAAGCCATGATAAATTGGAGGGTCATTAAAGGGAACTAATTATTGGCCAGAAGGAACTGAAATGCAGCAAGAGCATAGCTGTGAAAAATGGATGAAGCTCTCAAACGAGCTAGCTGGCGACCCTCCGCTTGCCTGTGCATCGGTCGCCTCAGGGAAGAGTCGGGAGGCGCAGAGAAAGGCAATCACGCTTGATCAGGACGTCGCTCTTTCAGATCTGGCGTTCTGGTGGCTCTTAATGTTTGGAATTAAATCAGCAAAACAAGAACAGGAAGGTGTCAAAGAAACTTGGCTATTTCTTCAGGTGGTTTTTATCAAGTTCCCATGGGCTTTTCATGGAAACACTGAAGGGGAACCTGAAAAAGTTACCTGTTTGGACTACGACTCCCAGAATCCTGTCACTAGCAACCATGTTGGCCGGGGGATTTGGGGAGTGGGAATTAGTCCGAAAAGGTAACATTTCTAGCCTCTGGACTGAAGTCAGTGGTGGTAAGAGGTCTGCACGTAACCCGTGCTTCCCAACTTTGGGTCTCCAGATGTTCTTGGACTTTAACTCCCATTAATCCCAGCCAGCTTAACCAGCAGTAGCAGCTTCTGGGAATTTCAGCCCAAGAACATCTGGGGACCCAAGGTTGGGAAGTACTGGAAAGAGTAACATGTTAGTGTCCACTATGGGGTTTTCCATGACCCCTGAATCTGGGTCTTGAGATGTCTCTAGTGGGAGGGGAAAAGCTAGGACTCAGCACTGACTCTGCACCATTGCAGATCCATATGGGTCGCATGGAGGGTGCAACTGTGCCTTGCTCTCTCAGAACCACGCCTGCTTATCTCAGCATTATCTGCCCATCAGGGAACAGATGGGTCCTTACATGTGCTTGGATGCCAGCTCCCGTCATTGCACACGGTTGACTATGCGAGCTAAGAATGATGTGCGCTGAACTACTGTGACATCCGGAGGAGCACAGATGCCCCAAATCCTGCTTGACGCTGGCTGCCTCTCTCGCTTTTCAGACGTTCCCAACCCTTGCAGGTGAATGCTCAGCAGTTAAGCGGACAAAGCTTAGCTCCTTTATCATTGAGTTACAGCCTTTTACTTGGGCCCCATATCCTCCTAAGAGGATGCTTTCTGTTACATCAGCTCTGAGAAAAAGGGGAAGCTGAATGGGGTGGTGGCACATAATACCAACATCACTGCTAATTAAAAAAAAATGCTGGCACTATGATCTGTACAGTCTTGGTATCCACTATATTGCTGCAAATCTCTGAGATCCATGATGTTGATCTCAGAACTTCAGGACTGGAAGGGACCCTATGGATCATCAAGTCTGGCCCCTGTCAAGGAGGCCCAGTGGGGAATTGAACCCCCAGCCTCTGGCTCCACGGCCAGTGATCTCAACCACCGAGCTATCCAGCAGTTCCTACATTGCATCCAGTAGTTTCTCAGGCATGACAAGGTCACTCAAT